ATCAATTTAATGCATTCTTTTAGAATATAAATATTCATTTAAAAAAATTTACTGACCCCAAACCTTTGAACGGTAGTGTATGTCTGACTTGGAACTATGAATTACATGTTTTGTTTTTTTACACTTGATATGTTTATTATTTTATTGATATTATGTTGCTTTCTTTAGGTTTCTTTCCAAATGCACCTTTTCCAAGTTTCTCTTTTCATTCTAGGCTGTTTTGCTAATGGTGATTGGTCTGGTTGTTGGTGTGTTGAGCCTGTGTGTCATCATTGTCTCCTGGGCTCAAGGACCTTGACCTTTGACGTCATCATTATGGGACATATTGCATGAGTTGTGAGCTCAACACATCCTACCTCGAGAAGAAACCTTATTTTACAGGTTACACACCTTGCAGAGGCTGTTTTCAGAACCAAAAGAAGGGAATCCCAATGAGATGAGCCAGCTGTGCTCTTATGACACTTCTAATGTACTCGTAGCACTTTTATGACACTTGAATACTGAACACAGGCACAGTCAAATTCAAAAATCCAGCAGAGCACTGAAATGCATATTAATCTATACTGAATGTCTGAACGGCAGTAGAGTTTGACAATCTTTGAATCAGATGGTTGCTGTCATCCATAGAAAGACAGCTGGGAACTGCATTGCTGATTTTACAACTGAATGTGGGATATTAGATTTACACCAATGTTTAATGAATTGGAAAATCTGCTTGTCTGACTCAAAAAAAAAGAAGCTCTGGTTTAATGATTAACCACTGTCTTTAGAATTCAAAAGCTTGGATTTGTTTTTTAAAGATTCTTCTGAACTTTCAGGATATTTCTTGGATATACACTATTCCCAAAGATTTTCTGTTGATTCAATTTAGAATTCAAAAATGTCCTCCCATTTTCTATTTTAAATAAAGAAAAATAAATAAATAAACTGAAAATATACAGAACAGTAATGATTTTTTTTACCTTTGTAACCCTGTTTACATGTCCAAAAGGACAATTTTGGTGTGTTTTTCGATAAATAAAGGGAAATAAGAATTAAAACTGGTTTCTCACTGACTCGTGTACTATGGCATCTGGAATGGAGTCTGTGATCCATGTTTAGTCAAAGAGATCCAAGCATTAGTGTGAGTTTTTGCTGGTTTGTACGTGAGAAAGATTGATAGACAGGCTGATTTTTCTTCATTGATTTGGACAGAGGGTTCTCTGTATGTCAGATAATGGAAAACAAATGCTCTCTCTCTCTCTTTATGTGTGTGTGTGTGTGTAGGCTCTGGCCTTTGCTCTCTCCTGCTGTTTCTAATATGCTGCATTAGCTTGAGAGACCGCCCAATGTAAGGCAGTCTGTAACACAGACACACACAAACACACATGGACAACCTTATATGTACTGAGTGAAATATGGTAGAACTGTTATTCTTGAGGTGTGTGATTAAAGCAACATTCAATTTGTGACACAAGATGACAGTAAGATTTCAGACAAATTCACTGCATATAATCAGAATCAGCTTTATTCGCCAAGCAAACACACAAGGAATTTTTAGTTTTTTTTAGAAGCTCTTGGTACATACATACATACATATCTGACCTGAGAACAGAAACATTTAAATAAGACTTAACAATAAATAACAATGTATATGAATCTGGAACAGAAGATACAGCTATATAGAAAATATGCATATGTGTTACATAGTACTTGAGAGAGAGGCAGTAATTAGAAATGGAATAAGATAAGAGGTCAGTGATAAGACAAAAAAAACTGCGTGTTACATGGTTAACTTGTATGAACACCAATAACATGAGGAAACCATGGTGTATTCCAATTTAGTGGATATGAGTTTTTTTTCTTTTATAGTAGTAGCAGAGTAGCAGAGGATTGGTGTTCAGGTGAAGCTCACAAAATCGCAATGTTTCACCAAAAAAAAAGTTTTTTTCCCCTTTTTAAATCATTTGTATTATTCTTTTTGTAATTAGATGTTCATTACTGTGATACAGTATTTATTTTTTATAGTATTACAGCAAAAAATGTTGCTGATTTTTAAATAAAATAAATATAACAATTATAATGGATAAATACAATTTAAATGATATATCATTGTATTATTAAATACATTTCGTTTTTATTTTTTTTTATATATAACAGTTGTTGTGAGATCCATCCATTCAGTTAAAATGTTTTTGACTTTGCAAGTCAAATGCATGAGTAAGAGAAGACATTTTAGTAAACGGGTATGAAGAAAAAGCCTTTAAAATAACATTTCATGCTAGGTTTAAATGAGTGGAAAATGAGATCCATTGCTCTTGGGTATCAGGCAAGAGTTATGTCTCTTTTCAGCTTTAATTCAGCCCTGCAGTGATTGCTTTACCATTAGACCACAGTCCATATTCACACACACCAACAGAAACATCTGCTGACTGTTAACCGCTGCCTACAGAACGTGATTTTGCTGTATGTCTATCTGAATTCTTTCATGCCAATTGGCCCTTTCATTCTGACATCTGCTTTTTTCCCTGGACTTCTTTTTTTCTGCATCTCTGTTCTTCTCCTTCCTCCTGAATTGATTTTCATGCTCTATCAGTAACCGTGCTCCCTGTGTCGCAGACATTCAGTAAATCATTCTGAGGACTCTGTTAGGAAGAAAGAAACATATCCAATCACGCACACTACCTCACCTCTATAGTGACATTTGATTGTTTTCTCCTCTTTGTCGTTCTCTCTGCCCTCTAAAACCTCTAATTCTCCTCTGAAGCCTGGTCTGAGCTGAGACCACATCACATCTGGAGTTCATTTTACCCAAACACACACACTTACCCTGCCCTGTGTCACACACTTTCTCCTCTGCTTTAAAACTGTTCTGTCCTCTATGCTCACTCTCCCTGTCACTCTTTTTAAACTCCTCTTTCCAAACACTCACTCCATCATTCACTCTTATTTCTTGCTCCGATTTTTGTTTTTCTTCTTTAACGCCCTCCTGCTGCAGCTGTTGCCATTCCCAAACACTGAGTAATAATGCCAGCCAGAAAACGTGCACTCACACACACTTTAGCCTTTCACCCATAAATCCCTCACCCACATCTCTACGAGTCACACGGCCTGACATGGAATAACAGCAGTTCAATAAGTGAGTAACAGTGTGTGTGTGTGTAAATCAGAGGTTTGGAAACAATTTTAAACTGTATATGGGAGCTGAATGGGACCTGCCGGGTTTGTGCATGTGTATTTGTGTTTAGTCAGGTATAGTTTATTTCTATAACAGCTTCAGTGAACGAGTAAGCATGCATGGCTATGGAATGGGTAGACTGGGGCTAGTTGTCACATTGGGGATGCAGTTACATCTCAGTAACTATGAGGTTTTGCACGAAAAGTTAAAGACTTTAACTATGTTCTCTGGATAAGAATGGGAAAGCTGTTCGTGTTTTATATTTATGTCTTTTAAATTAAATAATTTTATGCAGTTTATTTTATTATTCTACTTTATATACTTTAAGGTATGCGTGTACAAAGAAATTATTGTTACATATAATATAATATAATATTTCAAGGAATTCAATTAAATTGATCAAAAGTGACAGTAAAGTCATTTATAATGTTACTAGGCATAAAAAAAACCCAGAGGCCCACTATACACACACATATCCTGAAATGCACATTTGCTGTGTTCTGAACACAAACTCACACCCTGGATAGTTCAGAGTGCATGAACTGCCTGATTTCAATAAAGCTGCTGTGACCAGAACAGATCTGTTCTTCACAATGGGTTGAGTTTAAACTCTCCCACACTGTGCTCCAGATAAAAAGGGCAGTTCTTTAATGAATAACCATAAAGAGAGTTAAAGTTGATTTGGTGCTGAATGCATGTTTTAATACTGTTTCACCACACAAAACTCTAGAGAGAGAGAGAGAGAGAGAGTTGCTAAGATACAAGGGCTTAACAGCTAGAACAAACTTATGGTAAAACTACAAAGCTGTCCATAAAGAAATTGAACATGTATGTTTGAAAAACACAAGTATGCCTGATGGTTGAATAATTGCAGTTGCAGTGAGTATGAGTGCCTCCTGCTGGCTAAGTCTTGTGCTACACCAGAATCACTAGAGTGGATCCACCAAAGCTCAGCATCCCATCGAAAGCTTCATCACCAAAGGTCTAATATTCACCACGCCACCATAAGACCACTGACACCGAACAGAGCGTTTGGAGTCTCCCCTTTGAATTTACACCAGCTGGAAAAGAGATAGAGAGAGGTCAAAGGTCACATTTGTGGGCCTTTCATCCTGAGACTTTGTAGATCTGGGGCAACTCAATCAGAGCCCACACACAAACAACCCATTTTGTTTATAGATAGGCTAGGCCTATGTAAATTATTTTAAGCATTTAAGCCTTCAGAACAAAAGTTTTCAAAATCTTGGGAAACATACTGTAAATGTGATTAAGAGTGTCCAAATTTCGACTGTTAAATACATATATATCTTGTAGAAATGTAATCCTAATAATGAATTTGCAATACATATTCGGTTTATATATGTATTTATTTATATGTTTGTTTGCCGATTTAATTATCTAGGCATTAATAAAAATCTGATGGTGTCCATCATTTATTTAATGTACAATTTATTGTACATGAATGTATATTTATTTAATGTACATGTACATTTAGTCATTTAGCAGATGCTTTTATCCAAAGCGACTTACAAATGAGGACAACACAAGCAATCAAAACCAACAAAAGAGCAATAAAATGTAAGTGCTGTGACATGTCTCGGTAAGTCTAATGCAGTACATGTTTTTTTTAAATAATAAATAAAAACAAGTAGATAGAATAGAAAAAGAATAGAACACATATTTTATATTTGCTCATTTGTTTATTTACAATATCTTCAAATTATATTTGCACATCATTTAATACTTAACGAGTGCTGTTGAAAAAGTCTGCCGAAAGGTGGCGGTGTTTCCATTTGCTCGCGATAAAACAGGTGTGTTTTCTTTTTTCAACGGAATTCCACAAGCAGGTACTTCAGAGATGGTCCACGAGTGGCTTTGTTTAAAGAAAAAATATCTGGACAGTTTCTCTGCAGTTTCCTCAACGCCCTATCGCTCAGTTTGATTGAAATAGACCTCAGTCTATAGAGGAATAGAGAATATAGAGAAATAGATGTTTTTCATACAAAGGTTTGTCTGACACGCGTCTAAGTCCAAAATGCAGCGAATATGGACGGACTGTGAAAGTGTCGAGGAAAACTTTGCAAAGGCGACCTCGTAATAAGTCGCCTTACGGATAAGATTTAAAGACAGAGCCAGAGAGAAACATTTCATGTTGTGACTGACTCCCTCGAGGGAGACGCGTAGTCAGGCGTGAACTCCTTCACTTCCCCATTCTGCCCACTCGCTTCAGTCCTTCCGCAAAGCAGGTGTTTCAAACAACGCTTTGTTTCAGATGCAGAGGCTTCTAACTGGTGTGCGTTTGTGCATTTACACTTTCCCATTTAAGTGATGTCCAACATTCAAGTCAGTTAGGTTTAGATTTGCTAGGCTCGAGTTTAGAGAACACCATGAAGTTTAACGGGTATCTGAAGTTGCGCATCGGCGAAGCGGTGGACCTGAAGCCCACGACCACCTCTATGCGACATGCCGTGATGTTCAGCAAGGCGAACCAGACCCTGGACCCGTACATCGTAGTGAAAGTGGACGAGTATAAGATCGGACAGACGCACACCAAGCAGAAAACCAACATGCCCACTTATAACGAGGAGTTCTCCGTTAACGTCAACAACGGCAAGCAGGTAGAGCTGGCCATTTTTCATGACGCACCGATCGGGTACGATGACTTCGTGGCCAACTGCACCATCCAGTTTGATGATCTGATGAAGAGCACAAACAGTGAGGAGTCTTTTGAAGGATGGGTGAGGAATGTTTATTATATAGCTGTGTTAAATTTCCCCTGACCTGTTTACACATTTGCATCTTTCCATAAGGATTGTGAGAAACTGTCTACTTAAAATTGGTGGAGATTGATTTTTGTATGTTGACATGACAATTAGAAAAGTTCGGAAACAACAAGGCATGTTTGCTCTGATGGGGCAGACAGTGAGCATCTATGGATGGATTAATTGTCCAATATGCAGAATAGAGGTGAGACTGTGAAAAGTTTCAAATGATGAGGATGTTTATGCATCTGGTGGCATTGGAGGGATTTGTGTTTGTAGAAAAGTGCATGTTGATAACAAGACCAGAAAGCAAAACCGTATTTAGTACAGTACTTAGGTGCACACTAAAGACAAATCATGTGTTGGACCATAAAATGTCAGCATACTTAAATACAAAATAGAGAAGCCTCGGGTGATTTGTAACACATTTTATTTCAAAGTCTGTAACTCTGTGTTATTCATTTGTGCTGTCTTAAACTTTGATACAATATTCTCATGTTTGCCTGCGGCAAATTAAGAAAAGTTTATTAATGTACTAATTATCAAAATTCATATTTATTAATTAATTAATTAAATAAGTAAGCAAATTCATATCAGGTACGAAGAATGCTGTTGTTACAATATGTCCCACTACCAGGTCACTTGTAACGCTACCTGAAAACATGTTAAATTATATGCATGAATTATTCTGATAATCAAATTAACTTTTTTTTTTAAGTAATGAATATGCCATCCCCCATCACCATACTGCACACCTATCAACCTACATTTAATTTAAACATTTTGATTCAAAATTTACGTTCATGCATTTGGCAGACCAAAGTGTTTACATTGGCTTTAAAGTATACATTGTATCAGTTCAACCATTCCTTGGGAATCGAACCATGATATTGGCGTTGCTAGCACCATACTCTACTGTTTGAGCCACATGAATGCTATGAAATGGTTAACATTGAGGAATTTTGCAAAACAGCATTTGAAATCAAAATCAATTATATGTAAAACATAGGCTAATGCACACACCGTTTTGTTTTTTGAAGTTGATCAGCCTGTTTTATCACAGTTGTGGCAAATGTGGCTTGTATGATTTTGTGCAATCTTTGTCTTCAGCAGAAAAACACATTAGAAAGTGTTACAGCCCTCTCCATCTGCAGCTATGATATTCCTGCTTCTTTTAAAAAAAAATGTTTCTTTACATGTATTTTTATGTTTATTAAAGACTTGTGTTTAAATGCTTCGAAAAGCTTGTGCTATGTTGTGTTTTGTGTTAGGCTATGTGAGTTCATCCCTATAGTTAATTTCTAATTGGTTAAACTGGTATTACAGCACTCCCCAGTTTCCCCTAAACCTCACACTGTTGGTTTAATTGCGCTGTGTTCCTTTTGTCATGCTCTGTTGTGTTGCACTGTGCTCTTTTGTTTTGTTTTATTTTGTTCTGTACTATTGTATTGTTATGTTGTTGTTTTTTTGTGTAGTCTCATTTGTTTTGTGCTGCTGTGTTTTTCCTTTGTGTGTGAACAGCAGACTTGTTGAGGTTATGAGTGTTATCATTTTCCACCATCATCTGTGTGGGTTCACAGTTCACACTTACACCCATATGTCCGACAATGCATTGCTCACTGATCCAGAATCAGGCCTTTGACTGCAGTTCTAGACACAGATGAAGCTATCCTGATGCATGATCAGAGGTTAATGAAAGGAAGTCAAGGCTTAATGCACAGTCAGTCAATACAATTTGGACTCTCCGTGGGATGGTTGCAGCTAAGATCAGCTGAAACATCTTGCTCTGTGGTTTTAGCATCTTCTTTGATCTAAACACCTCCAGTTCCATGTCTACATGCCGCCTTCAGAGCTAATTCATATCAGTGTTAACTCAACACTGCAGCAGGGTCACTAGGACACAATAGTTGTAAAACACTTGTTGTCAGGCTTTCAGTGACCAGACTGAACATGCACATGCACATGCAAATCAGCTTGCTTTTCCTCAGCAGAAGTGGTGAAAGTCGTCTTGTAACCTTATTATTCAGCCCAAGGATTGTTAGTTCTCCTTTCCCAGAATGCATAATCACAGGGACATTATTTTTAGAGATACCGATCATCTTGTTTTTACTGTACGTGTCCTGAACATTTGTTCATTTGGTGAACAGTAACATGGGGATACACTTTATTAGCCTCAAGGTTATTTTAAGTTCAACTTATACTGTATGTAATATATAAAGTGTATACTTTAAATGACTATTATTATTTTTAAATGCTTGTCTAGAAATGTTTTTAAATATAATCTAAATTCTTTGAAGTCATAAACTGTAATGCATGAAATAGAATTGATCGTAAAAAAAATAGAAAAAAGTTTTAGATGATTGCTCAAAATGTCATGTAAACTATGCATGTATGCATCTAATATGCACATTTTAATATGTTTCAGATATGTTTGGCACAAAAAGCATTTAAAGTAAGTCAGGAAATGTTCAGATAAGGATTACTATTTAAAATAAATGCTGTTCTTTTGAACTTTGAAAGAATGCTGAAAAACGTATAAGGGTTTCTATTAAAATATTAAGCAGCACAAACCGTTTTCAACACTGATAATAATAAGAAATGTTTCTTCAGCACAAAATCATCTGACACTGAAGACTGGAGTGATGACTGCTGAAAATTCAGCTTTGCCATCACAGAAATAAATAACATTTTGAAATAGATTAAAACAGAAAAGATATTTTAAAGTGTAATTATATTTCACAATATTAGTGTTTTTAGTGTATTTCTGGTCAAATAAATGCAGTGTTGGTGAACGTAAGAGACTCAGAAACATTTTTTAAAAATCTTACTGACCCTAAACTTTTAAACATTATTGTACATCTAATCACCTTCTGTTGGGTTCCAGATGAAGTTCAGTGGACCTTAGAGATACAATGCCCCATTTTTATTGGTTCTGCAGCTGCAGGTCACATAACCGCTAATTAATGATACTCTGCTTTCAGTCTGTCTGGGCTGTGAGCGTTTTGTGCCAAGTTTCAGTCTCTGTGAGTGCATGTATTTGTTTCTGTGTAGAGCCTCAGGCTTTTGGGACAGATGGTATGTGAAACCTGCAGTTCAAATCAGCACACACACAAGTAAGAGTGTGTTTGCGTGTGTACGAGCTTCTCTATATGGGGAATGCCTCTAGGAATCCAGCAGTTTCTGTTATGCTATCTTATCATTCAGTGAAACTAGCATCAAAAGTGTATAAAATGGAAGTTGTGTGTATTGGAGATACACATTCTATCATAGTCTGCGTGAATTTTTCTGCTTTCAGTTCTGACCAAATGAAAAGAAGTATGAGTGTGGTGGAAAGAAATATTCAGTTGAACTCAATTGAAAGTTGCTAAAGCAAAATAGTTTAAATAGAAATTTTAGCATTCTGTATGCTAATTATGGCTAATCATTGACAACAAAGATGTAGTGATGTTTTGCTAATTATCATCAGACTTCTATTTAGACAACCACCTTCCATTCAACCACACAGCCTCAATGCTGACATCCAAAGATGTCTTTTCTGAGTTGGCCACTCCCTTGTTTATGCTGTTTGCATGCGATATCTCTTATCCCTATAGTTTGTTTCTTTTATCCATGATTCTGTCGTAACACATACACAAGCACATAGGGTTTATTTCTGGATCACATGCACGTCGACACGCCCACAAAGTTGGTTTTCTACTAACTTTACCACAGGCACACAAACGACCCCCCCCCTTACCCCTTGCTGTCTCTTTCCATTTCTGAGTTTGTCTTTCCATTTATCTCTCTTCTCTTTTTGCTCTACAGTAATCTGAAGTCTAGCTCTGATATTTTACTCCTGCCTGACCTCATTTACATTTTCCGTGGTGTCAGTGTGTATCTGCTGGGGATGGTATCAGTGGGTTGTGTGATTGGTTGTATTTGGCACATATTGTTTTCAACATGTGTATGTTTGCCTGAATTTGTAACATGAAAAAAAAAAACTAGACTTGTCATACAAAAGTGTTATACACATTTTTTCCACACTGATTGTGTCAATAATACACACTGATTGTGTCAAAGCAGCTTTACAGTGTCAAACAGGAAAATAGTTTGTCAGTAATGCAAGACAATAACAAAGAGTAATTTTTCAGCTAAAGTCAGTTCATTGATGATTCAGTGATGTCATCATCCAGTTCAGCTCTCGTCCAATAGTGTCTGTGCAGTCAGTCAGTCAAGTGTCCCCAACTAAGCAAGCCAAAGGCGTCAGTGGCAAGGAACCAAAACTCCATCGGTGACAGAAAATGGAGAAACCAGGCTCAGTCGGGGGGCCAGTTCTCCTCTGGCCAGACGATACCAGCATGGCGTGGTTTAATTCCAGGTTGCAACACAGGTGCAGAGGGCTTCTCACAGTCCTGGATAAATTGAAAATGAACTTTAAAAATGTTTTCTAGAAGGCCTGTGAATATCAGGGAAAATGGTGAAATCTTAAAAGGTCACAGAAAAGTCATCAAAAAGTCATCATCAGTTACACTCAATTCTTAAGTGCTGCTTTGTCAAAAAAATAATATATATATCTTGGTCAGAAAGTGTGGAAAGCATTTGAAAAAAAAAGAATTTAAAATATAATGATGTATTTATTTAACATTTGTATCTCTAAATAATTCCCATACTTCTGTTTGTGTTGTTTGATAGTTTTGATCAATTTACTATAATTCGAATTTAGAAAATATTATAAAAATAATGAAAATGAGTATTTAAATGAGTAGTTGTGTCCAAACTTTTAACTGCTGATAAGTTAAGTTTAAAATGTTAGAACAACCTTTTTAATATTCAATGTCTAAATTAATATCTAATGATTTTTATTTATTTATTTTTGTTGCAGATTGATCTTGAACCTGAGGGTAAGGTCTACATCCTGGTTACTCTCACAGGCTCATTTATAGATGGTGAGTCCCTCCTCTCATTTTTTTTCTTCTATAGCTCTTCTTTTCTTTTTTTGGTTTCTTTCTTTTAAATCTTTTTTTGTTTGTTTTGTATTTTTTAAATGGTTTCTATTTCTTTTTAATCTTTTCATGCAGAAATATAAATGTATTCATACATTTTAAAATGTCAGTATGACTGGGATATTTTTGCACTGAAACAGGCATATCGAGAACACGCGGTCTGTTTCATAGCCAATGACAGAATAAAAGATGAAAATATAAAACTCTTCTTGATGAATTGCACTGTCTAGTCCTTGATGGTGGAAACACGCATGCACACACACACTTAATTTCCTCCACTTGCTGTTAAGGTGTCGCTTAACTAAATGTTAACATGCTACCAGACTTGTCAACACATGTAAAGACACACTAAGACACAAAGCCAACTTCAGTCAGTTTTTTTTTAGACAGAGCATTTTATGCGTGAAGTGTATGCTATGTGCGAATCGCTCACCCGCTGTGCAGGGGTGTGTGGAGCTGGCTTCCTTTAAAGGCCTGTGGTTAGGCCTGCAGAGAATAGACTAGACTTAATAATACCAGTGAACCGGGGGCTCATAATCTGTCTTTCTTCCCCCTCACAAAGTCAGCAGTATGTTACATGGCATTATAGGAAATACCTATGTATTGTAAGAAGATCATGCATCATGAAATAATAAAAGCTTTTCTGTTTCTCTGTGTTTAGATGATGCTGGAGGAAACACGCGTCCCTATAAAGAATTTACTCGTAAGCGGCAACAGGCTGTTCGAAGAAAAATCCACCAAGTAAACGGGCACAAGTTCATGTCGACCTTTCTAAAGCAACCAACATTCTGCTTCCACTGCAAAGATTTTATATGGTATTGCACTTTTGACACAAATGTACATATATATTTTTTTTAAATAGCACATTTTTGTGAGCGTTTTAAAATACAGTGGGTACGGAAAGTATTCAGACCCCCTTAAATTTTTCACTCTTTGTTATATTGCAGCCATTTGCTAAAATCATTTAAGTAAATTTTTTTCCCTCATTAATGTACAGAAATTAATGGAAAAATGTAAGGGTGTCTGAATACTTTCCGTACCCACTGTATGTAACTGAAAGCTTATGAGTTAAAGCCCATGAGGGATGACCGTGAGACCTTCAGCAAGATATTTATATTTATCTGCAGGGGGAATGTCCCTGTAATAAGGTTACTGTAGGTGTTTTTAAACACTTTTAGCATTAGCTAAATTAAAAATTTGTAGGTCTTTTTAAGGATTTAAACAGTAAAAAAAATTATAATTTATTTTTATAAAATAAACAGAGCTGAGAATACTAAACTCTTATTGGTAAGAGGCTGAAAGTATGAACAAATTAGCTAAAAATATTTAATAAACAAGCACACAAAGGATAGAAATGTGTACATTGTTATGACTGATTTGCATTTTAATTTTGCAGTGACATTCTGCAGGCAAAGGTTCCTACAAATTAGTAATCAATAACATTTGAATCATTATAGAATGTCAGGTAGAGTTCATTCTTTTGTAAATGGACAGGTGCCCCTTTTGTGACACTTTTTTTGCTACTAGTTTTCAATACAAAATTGAGAACAATATACATTACAGAATAAAAGTGTTTTACAGTGAATTTTGTGTATAAATGCTTAAAGTGGGTGGCTGAACAAACTTTGTTATATTTTAATTGTACATGATGTTTTTTTGTTGTTGTGTTTTCTTTGTTCCAGGGGTGTTTTTGGAAAACAGGGCTACCAATGTCAAGGTGAGTTGACACTCTGTCTCTGTATTAATGGACGTGATCTGTGTTTAAATTGATTGTATTATCGGTTATAATCAGCTGTGTGTGTTCGTATGTGTGCATGTTAGTGTGCACCTGTGTGGTACATAAGCGATGTCATCAGTTTGTGGTTACGGTCTGTCCACGCATGAAGAAACCTGCCAAGGAACAGGTAATGCAACCCTAACCTAAAAAGCTTTTGTAGTCCATTTTTGTGTGTGGGGGGATTCTCACAGTATGGCTTGCACTCTTAAAAGTAAAGGTGCTTCACGATGCCATAGAAGAACCTTTTTGTCTAAATGGTTCTCTAAAGAACTTTTAACATCTGAAGAACCTTTCTGTTTCACAAATGGTTCTTTGTGGTGAAAGAAGGTTCTTCAGATTATAAAAAGATAAGCAAGAGATGGTTCTTTAAAGAGCCTTTGACTGAATGGTTCTTTGTGGAACCAAAAATGGTTCTTCTATGGCATCACTTGAAGAACCTTTTGAAGCACCTTTATTTTTAAGAGTGTGCCTGGGTTTTTCTTTTCATCTGTGGATTTTAGAAGTTTTGGCCATAGAATTTCTGAGAAAGACAGACCAATTTTGTCATGTGTTGGTGAAGTGACTGCTGGCTGTGTCCTAATAAACACAGATGCCATTTTCCACCTACTGGTCAGGAATAGAATTGCTGAAACGTACTGTTCTGTTTTTTTATTTTATACTTTGTTCCTTCTTTTTACAGACTACGAATCAAGGTTTCAGTATAAACATTCCCCATAAGTTCAACATCCACAATTATAAGGTTCCTACCTTCTGCGACCACTGTGGCTCTTTGCTGTGGGGCCTCGTACGGCAAGGATTACACTGCAAAAGTACTTTTCTCTCTTTCTGTCAGCCCTCCTTGTTCACCATTAATGCATCCGTCAGTCTCATTGATACTGTTATGTGAGGCTCATCTGGTTTGTTGTGTTTTTACATCTGTAGTTTGTAAAATGAATGTCCATATCCGCTGTAAGGGAAATGTTGCCCCAAACTGTGGAGTCAACAATGTAGAACTGGCCAATAAATTGGCAGAAATGGGCCTTCAGCCGAGAGGAATGACCAAACGCAACTCGGTGGTAAATACACACATGTGCACTCAATCTTTTCAAAAGTGAAATATGTGATCTGTCTGTGTAAAGCTCTCTCGGTTTAAGTTTAATGTGCTTTTTTGACATTACACATAACAGTACATTCTAAGCTGCATGCACCGAAAATAGGACAAAATAAAACTTTAGTGACGTAAACAAAGAAATTAAGGGAAGTAACACAGGACCATCAACAGAACAATTGATGTTGAATGATAAAATGTACTGAATGAGTAATACATAAAGTCTGTTAGGAAAAAATAATTTGTCTCTCTTCTCAGGGTCTCGCAGGTATGGACACTCAGTGCCGTACATTGAGCGTGAGAGGAGATCGAGGGCAATCTAAAAAAGACCCAAATCGAAAGCTGGGAATCTCTAACTTCACACTCCTGCAGGTGTTGGGAAAAGGCAGCTTCGGCAAGGTCTGTGTTTAAGAATGTTCCTCTTTATATCAGGTCCAATATGACTGTGTAGCACAAATATTGCAGACTATTTGTTACATATATAATGTTATGGAACTGTTTATATAACTGTTTGAAGTTTTATTCGGTGTACATAAAAAAATTATACGCACTGAAAAAAAAAAAAACTTCAGATCATTGCTGTGCAAATGACTTTTAAACAACGTAATATACGTCTTTGGGCTGTGCTGTTTCATATTAAAATATTATGCTGACAATTTTGTGCCAGAAAGTCTGGGTGAATATGTCTTCACAAATAAAAGGAAAGATAATTCGCATGTATCACATGTACTTCACAAGTCTTGCTGTTGGTGTTCTGTGTAAATAGGTGATGTTGGTCCGGTTGAATGGTTCGGATCAGGTGTTTGCAGTGAAGGTGTTAAAGAAAGACATCATACTGCAGGATGATGATGTGGAGTGCACGATGACAGAAAAACGAGTGTTATCCCTCGCTTCCACTCATCCTTACCTCACTCAGCTTTACTGTTGCTTCCAGACACCGGTGAGGAACAGACACATCACACATTCACCTAGTTGTATTGTTTTTAAACGAAGCTAGTTATAAATAAATCAATAAACCATATATGTATGTATGTATGTTTATATATATATATATATATATATATATAATAGGGCTATAGAACCCTTGGTATATTCTGTTCTTGAGAGAGCATGTAGTTTTCACCTCATCAGTAGGGGGCAGTAGAGAATTAAGCATCAATATGTTATGTTGGTTCAATTCTACTTTGCATTTTCTGTGTATGTGTACTTTCTCTGTGTGTGTTGTGAGAGATCAGAGGTCTGCTATGTTCTGCTTGCGTGTTTTGCTCGAAGCCTTTAGAATAGAGAGGTCAACACTGAATCCCCTAATGTAGCTTTTACAATCATACAGACCCACCTGAAACACACACTGTAGCATTTGTAAGACTATATTGTTTGATTTTATTACTTTACCTTGAGTGTACGCAAGGTTTTAAAAACATGCACACACGCACACTGATTGCAAAAGGACTTTCATGTTCAAGTTTTCATGTTCAGTCCAGCAGAACAGATCCGACATGATGACCTCTCTGGATTTACTACTGCAGAGTCCACATGAACATGGATGTGCAGGAACATCCTCAAGGTCTCGCTGCCAAATGTACAGTGTGTTTGTAATGAGGAATGGAACTGGTGTGTCTTTGCTCTTTCACAACCCTGACGCACGCAATCAATCTCTTAACCCTCCACACCTGAGCAACATACAAAGCACACTCATGACCCTCTGGGGCTGGGTTAGGTTAGATAGCACCACAACGCGGTGGTAAAAATCAATGATCTCAGAGGGCCTGAGGTGTGTGGCACTGTTGCTGAGTGAATGTGCGTGTTTGTTAATGTGATGGACTTGGTCATTAGTGGATGTGCCATGGCGCTTTGATGGTCCAAATCTTGTCCACTTATCTCATTCTGGTGAAGAGCCGCTCGCTTGGACAGGATGTCACTGATGAAAAGCAGCCAGCCACAGTTTTTTTTTTTAGGGAAGGATACATTTTAAATGGAACATACCACAGTTAAAGGCCTTTTCACACTGAATGTGAAAATTTGGCACGATGACGCTTTTGAATCGGAACAGTAGATCCCTATGGGACTGTTCACACCAGGCGCGATCATTTGCTGCGCGAAAAAGCAGGATTTTTTTTTTGTCCTGTGTATCGCCTGCCTGTTTTAGAATCAAACTCAACTTTAGATCACAATCGGAAGTTATTACAAGCACGATTGATGATGGTGTAAAGTGGGTTTTAAGCAAAAACATTAATAATCACATACTTTTTCAAGTGTAGCTTGATGCTAATTGTATCTCTAATTATTCTGGTAAGCATTATAGATAGTTTGTTTCTCTGGTGTAGAATCAAACTTCATTTTAACTTTATCAGATTGGTATAGAAAAATTTGGCAGTCTCTGTGAATGTTTGTAAAGAAGAAATGCATAAGAAATTAGTCCAGAAGTATTAGTATTACCCAAGTAGCACTAACCTGTAATTTTGCTCTTGGACATAAATGTCACTTCTCATCTGAAAATAAATATGACGGTTATCAATTATCCATTATGACTGGAAATTCAGCTAAATTGTCAAAATAGTTTATTACTGTATTATAATAATTACCATAATATTAATTAATGCAATATTTGGTTTAGCATTTTACATGAATTGCATAAAATAAATAAAAAAATTGGTTTAGTGTTATACATAAATTACAAAAAGAAAATAGTTAAAATTATGTTAGATGTATTCTGCAATAATAATCAAGTGTTGACCATGGTGGGCTTCCTGTCCCAGAGGTTGGGCAAAATGGCCTTCTTTCATGATTTTCTTCTATAACAAACGAATATATTGGATTATGCATCATCATACTATACCTGCAAAAGTCATCTATAAATATGGTACAGTTTTGCAGTAAATGCACACTGTTCTGTGGGCATCTTCCCCCACCTTACTCTGAATATTTCACTACTTAAAATCATTGCATTTCTCAAGAGTTTGTGTCCTGTTTTGTGTGCAGCATGTATCACACGGTCAGTAAACCGACTGTGGGTGGTCCCTGGGTGTGCAGGCTGAGTTTGATGCATTGGCCGTGCTGGACTTAAACAGAGACTTAGTGCTGTCAATTCAAACTTATGATGCACTTCGTTTTAGATCACCTTCCAACTCTCACAATCCCATAATCCTGTGCTTCCTGCAGTCTTCTTTGCTGACTAAACAGTATTTATGTTTCTGCTTTGTCTGCCTCTCCCATGAATCTTCTAATGGCTGTGACATGCTGGGTTAACTGTCTGGTTGGTTAAAAGACTCCCTGTAAGGAGCTGAATTTCCTGATGTTAAAGGTGGTAATCTAGTATTTGTTGTTGTCTTTTAAATTAATCTTTATCTTAATTTCTTAATCCTTTCACAGGACCGTCTGTTTTTTGTAATGGAGTTTGTGAATGGAGGAGATCTGATGTTTCATATTCAGAAATCGAGAAAGTTTGAGGAGAACAGAGCCAGATTCTACACAGCGGAGATCACATCTGCTTTAATATTCCTACACAGCAAAGGAATAATATACAGGTTAGACAGACAAATGCACTTAAGACAGAAATTAAAAGGATATTTAATTCACAATGAAAATTCTGTTATCATTTAATTCCCCTTATGATGTTCTAAACACGTTTGACTTTCTTTAATGAAGTCAAATGAGTTTAGAACAACATGAGGGTGAGCAAATGATGATTGAAATTTAGTTTGAACTATTCCTTGTGTGTTTTCTCTACGTTCTCTGAAGTGTTTTCCTTCCTCTTCTCTTTTTAATTGCCACTTCCGTGTCCTCTGAGGTTTATTAACACTGTGAGATTAATTCTTGCCTCAGCATTTCCATTATTATAAACCTTTACCACATAGATCTTTAAAGCTGCAGTGTAATACTTGTTAACAGCACTGGCACTGAAGGAGAGGGCAAAATATCAGGTGGAATATACGTCAATTCTGTTGCAATTCTTCTGGACAAATGGCAAAATATCAGCATTCATGCAGTTACTGTTGACTGAATGTGAATGTATGACAAAGTATAAGCATTATTTTGAATGTGTGTATCAGAGGCAAGCAGTCATTATGACATGAAGTGCCATTTGTAATCTTTCTTTAAAAAGATTATAATGCAGGTTTTCATGCAGAAGTGGTTTACCAAGCAAATAAAAAATATTAACACACATAAATCTTTCTCTCGCTCTCTCTCTCTCTCTGCCATAATGGCCATAATGGACTGAATCTTGGCATATTGGTATATGTGTATGTGTATTATTTCAGGGATCTGAAGTTGGATAATGTTCTGCTGGATAAGGATGGTCATTGTAAACTGGCTGATTTTGGCATGTGTAAGGAGGGAATGTTTGAGGGTGTTGTGACAGGAACCTTCTGTGGAACCCCAGATTACATTGCTCCAGAGGTGATTCAAACACTCCACCCCATTCAATCACACACTCTACGGCAGTCTAAAATACACACAAAATGATGCATCACAAAATTCTAGAAGAATCAGAAGTGTTATGCTGCATTCACATTGTGTCAGATTGACTTTAAGCATGAGCTGCCAACTTCGTCACATTCACTGAAATTATTAGTTTCAACACCGAAATTGATACATTTTTGATGTTGATAAGTAAAAATATTAATTATTACAAATATTTAATACATTAATTTACAGTTCAATCAAATAAAAAAAGGAAATAAAATTTACATTTTAGATAAAAAACATATTTTATTTCAGTTGGTTGCCAAGGCAATATTTCTATATTCCATGTTTCCATTAACTTTTTTTGTAGATTAAGGTGAAGTATTACAATTAATAATGAATTAATTTTAAATAAAAATAATTTATTCAATTTAAAGCTAAACAGAAATAAAAATTGTTGTACTTAACAAAATTATTAAAAATTAAAATGAAAGTTGAAAATGTAAGCTAATTCAAAATTTTAATAAGTACTATAATAGCATATTAATAATACTAAAATAACTCCTCTTTCGCCTGTGTTTTTCAAAATATAGAATAATATTCAGCAATGTTGTAGTAATATTGTAGATATAAACTGCTTCTATTGGTGTCTGTTAGTTTTAGGTGAATAGATAATCTATGGAAGTGTGTGATCAGTGTGGAAGTATCATACCAGTTTTCTGCCAGTATTGCTTTTTTTTTTTTTATCAGCATCGGCCATTATTGGATATTTAATTATACATGAAAATTCCCCCTATATTTTTACATATAGATTACTTTTGCTATTATATAACACTCTTGTAAAATTATCTTTAAAAACACTTTGTAACAATTTTTCGTGTGTTTTATAATATTGTGATGCCTAAATTCAGTTGTAACATTTATTGAACATTTAAAAAGTATTGATTTTAGTATTTTATTTATTTATAGAAATTAGTTTGGAATTATAATATTGGCTATAACATGAACATAACTATTGGCTTATCTGACAGGATTTTAAAATTGGTGCATCCCTTGTTTTTTTCTGTAAAACTGGATGATCCCTCAAAACAATGAGTTTGTCAGTGTTATTCAGAGTCGATGAGGTATGGTAACCAGCTGTGCTTCCTAATGGGTGTCAGATTTACCCAGAGAGAGTGTGTATTTGTGTGTACATGTGCATGTTTGTGTTTTAAACGGTTATAGAAGGAGGGCAGGATTTGATTTGATTTGATTTAATCTGATTTGGTTAAATTTGATACCACGCATTGATACTCTCGACACAACCTCCCACAAGTGATTGCGTGCTATGTTATACACATTCTCATAGGAATTGAGTCTGATTATTGACGTGACGTACTGTAGGTTTAATTTCTCTATGGAGATTTGATAGGATTCTCAACATTCAATACCTTTGGGCACTTTCATATTTTTGTTAGTGTATTCATTTGAAGTAATGTAAACTGATATATATATATATGGTGTGTATTAGTTTTCTGCGTGTAAAAGTAGATGAATGTTTGACAGACATATGCATGACATCATGTTTTGGTTTTATTTTTCTTAGTTTCTGACAAAGAATCCATCCCGTCGTCTGGGTTGTGTGGCAGCAGAGGGTGGAGAGACCGCTGTAACCAGTCACCCATTTTTTACTGGCATTGACTGGGACAAACTTAACCAGCGAGAGCTTGAACCGCCTTTCAAGCCCAGAATTGTGAGTTTAAAAATATGTTAAATAAATAAGTCTGTATGTATATAATTATATATTCAAATTCTTTGTAAAAAAAAAATCTAAAATCTAGAAAACTGCAGAAGATGTGAATAACTTTGATCCAGACTTCACCCAAGAGGATCCTACTCTTACGCCCATCGATGACGCCATCATCCCATCCATCAATCAGGATGAGTTCCATAACTTCTCCTTTACCTCCCCTGAACTGTTGAAAGTGGTTTCAGATTTGCAAAGCAGAGCGGAAGAAACATGTGAGGCCATGAAGGAACAGAATGCGGGAGGATTACGTGATGTGGTAGAACCAAATGAATTGTGACAATGGAAACTTTCAGGAGCAGTCTAAAGAAACATTTGAATATATTGAAACTGGTTGTGCATTTCGATGGCCTAGCTTTTTGGTCTGTGCCTAAGCTATAAGATTCTTCTGGCCTATGCTTATGCTTTAGAACAATAGTGTAATTGTTTTTGTGTCAGACACATCATGAGTGAAATGCAAAGATCTCCATGAGACTCCATCGTGGAAGACAGCAGTTTACTCAAATTTGATCAATAGATGAACTTGTCTGTTCCATATCTACTGTAGCTGATTTAACAGTGTTCATATCCAGATGTTTAGGAAACTTGATTTGATCCTCTGCACTTGCTGTGTCTAACACAGCCAAACGTCATGCAGAAACATCACTAATTCTGTCAGAATCATTCTGCTGTCAAGGAACCAGGAAAATCAGACTAATGAGAATGTTTTTTAAATGGAGACGCTAGTTTTGTACAATATTTTAAGACATTTCTGCGTACATCTGTGCCGTTTGTTTATTACATTTCAGGTCGGAATTTCAACCATGATTAAACTCTGGCATCTTTCGATGAATTTTATTGTTGATAAAGGTTGCAGTATTGTGTTCTCTGCTTTTAGACCTTTTCTGTCTGTGACTTCGTCAAAAGCCGTCCCCCCTTTGTTGTTCTGAGGGGTTAAAGGATAACACACCCAGGTGAGATGTTGACCAGTTTCAATTCTTTATATTGAGGCCAGTGATTCTTCTTCCTCATCCTCATCATTCTTTAATGGTGTTTATTTGGATCTTCGCAGTCTGAGCAGTATGATGTATCTGTTGGTGTATGTTTTTGTGCCTGTGCGTATTTGGCACTGATTTCCCATTATTCATTTTGTGTCTGTAGGAGTATGCAAGTTAAGTTTGTAATTACTATCAAATACATACAGTTATAGTATTCCTTGCTGAAAAAAAAACACCTAAAGATTTTCACATGTTTTTCCACACTCTCATGGCAGTTTGTTACATTTTGCCAAATTGGTGTCAAAATAGTTAGTTTTCTCATGCGATTGGGTTGCGTTCACACCATGTCTATGTTGGACGCCAGTGGTGCGACACAACAAAAGCCAATAGAACCCACTAAAATCAGTGATTCTCTCTATGCTAGTTTCAGTAAAAAAAAAAAAAAACCTACAAGACTGGGCTATTGATATTTGCCATATCATGCTTACATCTGATGAATGGAGGCAAATAAGATTAGCAACAGATCTTTGGTGTTGAGTGAGAAAAACTTTGGAGATGTCATGGGAGGTCCCATTGAGCAACTTGCCCTTGCAAGTCTGGCCCAGCCCCAATTACACTAGTGGAGGTTTTCCTGGAGAGTCATCAGCAGCCCACTTTCCTGTGGGAGACTACAACCCTGAAGACCAACAAACAGAGCACTATCTTATGAGCTTGGAGCCATTTACAGTCTTTGGCAATGCGGGGGTAGGCAGAAATCCTTGTATGGTCAAGGACACTCTCTTGTGGGGCTTGGATGACTCCTCTTATAACGGTCTATACACAGAGGAGTTTCCTGATCCTTCAATGCCAGTTAGCACAATTATTCTCTGTGTCTTGCTTAATATCATTATTTTATTCATATTTTAACATCTCTCCATCTTTTGCCATACACATCTCTTGTACTGTGGTCCTTTGTATACACCTATTCATTGTGGATGCCGGTGATGGTTCTCTTCCCAGAAAAGGCACTGGTCTTAGATGGCTGATCTCTTCATATCAGAGCATTCATGCTGTGAGATTGTTTTGTTCCCTGCGTGGCTTTTTTTTCTTTTCCCCTCAGTCCAATATGCAATGCAATTTGTGTGTTTGTATGTCTTGCTTGACTGCTCATGCTGACAGCCCTATTTCATATATAACATATTTTCAAATGACAAATATGGCACATTTTAGGGTTTCTTTTTTAGGTTGTATTGCTTAATAATGAAGCCAGACTTTTAGGGTGCTTTCACACTTGGTCCAAACCCGAGTTCGATTGCTCCCCCCTCCCCCTGCCCCCGCTGGACTTACCCCTTTGCTTAGTAAGGATGGCGCAGGAGAAGGCGGCAAAATGCATTGCTCTCTCCAATTTTATATTCATGTTTTTGAACCGTTGGTTTTGTTTCCAAAGCTTCAGTACATAACGGCACTTACGTCTGTCTTAGGAATGTACTGCAAATTCCCCCCACTAAAAATAAGAAAAATAACATTTAAATATTTGTGTAACATTAATTTAGATATTTATGTATATAGTTGTCATGGCAATTGTTTTCTTAAGAAGCAGGCTATAAACATGCACGCAACATCTGGGCTTAGAATGCATGTCAACATAGGCAACCCAAACAAGCTGACACACTGCATGGCCAAAATGTATTTGTCAGTTGTGTGTATTGGCGGCAGACTGCTTTCCTCCATGCTTGTGTTTCAACTCTTATAAAATTAGCCCTCTGTAATGCGTCTCTTAAAGGCCTTGGTGACAGATCAGTTTCCAGCCATTCCCAGGTCCAGTGGGCCATAATTACATTTTATTGATTTCTCTTCTGCCCGTACGGATACCCTTTATTGGATGCAGAAAATCCATTTCAGTCTTAGCACCACTTCAGCTCATCTTGGACCGATTTTGTTTATTGTATTGATTTCTGTCTTGATAAATGAAGGGTTGTAACGATTAGATCAGAATTCCCTGTGGGGGAAAAAAAAGACATCAAGACATCTTCAAATGTATCATATATACACTCAAGTGTGCTTCAAGTGTGTGTTCAAACAGTGCTTCACCTTTAGGCCAGAGCTTTTACGCTTTCCTTTATTGCTTAATGAGGCTTGACAGAGCAATAATACATGCATGTGTGTGTACATTTTTATAGCTTGATGTTCACTGTACTGCATCAACGAAATGCTACGCAAAGGATCTTTGCATGTTTCGCTGATCCCTCCCTTCAAAGTCCCTTTGTGTACATTCAAGCCACTGCTGAGGGATGGAGAGATCATCTCTGAACAGGTGGATGAAGGAGATTACTGCAGATTAGAATTGGCACGTGTCCATCTGCTTTCCTCATTCATATACACCAACATCACAGTTCTTTACTGCAATCCAGAAGCGGCAATGCTAATAAATTGAAAATGTAATTTTGTAGAGACCCTTTCATCCAAACACAATGTATAATAGACCTGGCAGGAACAGTCCCTGAGCCGCAAACTACACAGGAGCAAATGTTTCCCTCAAGGACACAGTGGAGATGGAGCATAGGCTTGAACTCATTTAGCCTTGTTTGCTCTCCCCTCAATATTCACTGGATTCCAATAGGAAACTCCAAACCTGATATTTTGATTTTCAAAACATTACAGTGAGAAGTCAACAGACTCTTATGGCTATTCAGAACTATTTTAAATTACAGGGAACTGGTGGTTAATTTGTATGAATTTGTGCAATCTTTAACAAACAACCACTGATGGTTTAGGGGTGGACCTTCTTTATAAAAAATCCATACAAATCACATTGTATGACTTCCTTCAAACTGTCACCTGATAAAATATGTTTTGAGATCGGGTTGGAAAAGTTTTAATACATCATTTATTCTGAAAAGACTGTTTACAAAAGGACAGAGTTTTTTTAAGAATACAGATGTTTAAATAGTCATCACGTGTACTCTTAATGATGGTTACAGAGGAAAGCAAGTGTTGTGGCTGGTTTCAGGGACATGTTCTCAGGTTTTTCCATTGGGTTGTGTGGAAAAGGATGAGACAGGGTTTATGCTGTGTGCATGTCTCGTCTTGGTCACGGGGCTGGAATTTGGGAAAAAGAACATCCTTCAAGAATTTTCTGGGCTGGAAAATCTTTGTTGACATTGACCATCAGATACAACACTGAAAACTGTTTTACCATGGTAATTTAACAAAAACTACCATGGTAAGCATAGTGTCTGTCTACTATCCTCCTGGGACCCAGGCATATACTTTTGTCCTCTGTAGAGGACATTATATTATAGTGAATTTCTTTGAGACTAACTAAATATCTGCATTGTCCTGTACAGAGCACATTCAGGGCTTTTTAGAGATATCAAATGTTTGGATGTTTCATCATAAACACACCCTTCTCCTTGGTCTTTAAAAATATGATAATATTTTATTATTTAAATTGGACTAATTTTCAAATTGTTTGTCGTATAAAAAACTTCTCCGAAAAATGTAATGGGTATTCAAATAGGAATATGACTTTTTATTGAAACGGGGCATGATGTTCATACATGTCTTCTGTAGAGGACACCAGGACAAATGGCATGTTAATCAAGCATTTTGGGGAAACACAACAAGTCAATTGGGAAAGAAATTATAGATCAATATTCCTATGAAATATGAGATATTCTTATGAAAATATTGCCAAGTTATTGCTCCCATTATAACATTTCTTTTTTTTCAGTATGGTTTGCCACAAGAACACATTGATATGCAAATTAGATGCAATGTATAGATACATTTTATAGAATGGGAATATTTTCTGTTTTGTTTTGCCTGTACATGCCTTTTCATGTCTATTTATTTTTTTGAATAACTTAGTCCTGCCATCCTCTACAAAGGACATAGAATAAAATATGAATAAGATTTCTTTTCTCCATTTGTTTCTTTGCTCCAACCAATGCAATGACATTAAAATAAATTCACAAAACGTTTTTTATGGTTCTCAGGAGGATATCATATAGTTTGCCTACTTTAGTACTATGTAGGCTACTATAAAATATGGTGCCAACTTGCTGATAGCTACTTCTGCCATCAAAAGGATTGAACAAAATGGTAAATAATGTGAAAGTGACTCTTTGAATTATATTAGTTAATTGAAGTAAACGGAATATGATGGTCTCGCTTAAACTATGTTCACTATGATAAAGTCCATCTGTGTATAGTGTGTAGGCACTTGTCTTGATGTAGGCTATTTGTTGAAAACGTGACCTCATAAATGCTCAATATTCAATTATCTGTAAGCACATCCAACAGCGGCGAGCGCAGGGTAGCTTCTTCAGGAGCGTATAATGGCCATTACTGGCTCGCGTGCCAAAAATATCCTCAAAGGAACCCCATCTCGCGTTCTCGACCTCTCCGAGGCATGTGACTGCGCGCCACACGAGACGTCAGGCGTCAGACAGATGCGGAGCAAGCGAGAGAGAAAAGGCGAAGCATCACTTTAACTTCATTCAACTTTATCCAACGAACACTGGAACTCCAGCCGAACGTATTCTAAAACACACTCAGGATTTACTATCATTTGAACGAACGAGGGGTTTTGCAAAGGTTTTTTGTGTTGGGTCCCGTTTGACCATGGATTCAGTCGCACCTGGGAAAAAAAGGTAAACAAGCACCACTTTCTGCGTTTAGATGCGCTTGTGTTGGCATTAATATTGTTTCATTAACTCTTTTTTTTTCTCCTTTATTGCTTGTAGTTGCCGTCAATAGTCTCTCAATTTCCCCCTTATAACCTGTTGTTAGCCTACATTTATAATTCATACCTCCGTGTGAATGAAACCGCGACAAGTGTATTTATTTCACATATTTGCAGACTTTGCAAGATTTGTGCTTTAAAACGGACTGTAGAAACGGAAGATTTATAGAAAAAACAACATTGTTATAGAACATTGTTACGCGCTGAGGTTCCTGGAATAACAGATTTTTTCAATGAATCAGTTGAACCGGTTCACAAAACCGGTCTGAATGATTCGTTCAGACTGAATCGAACAAGCTGTTGTCGAGCCATGCATGAAGCTGCCTCACTCCAGTGAGAACGGTCTTTTTCGACATTTGATCTGATTCCGTGAGTGAGCTGAGTAGAAACTTGTAGAGTGAACTGAGGATTTGGCTTATTGCCCAACTTTAACTTCAGTAGCCGAATAGCAGAAATAAAAGGTACACAAAAAAAGGGTTCTTTGGCTTGTAACAGTAGCAGAACCCCTTTTAGTGCTAAATAG